AGTGCCCCCTACCCGTACTATTTGAACTGGAGAGATATTTCCATGAGTAAGTTACCAAAGCACAAAGTGATACCAAAAATAGTTAAAGCTAAACATTCTCGTTCAAGACTGATGTTTTAGGTCTGTATACAGGCCGTTGGACTTACCTAGGAATACCAAAAGAGATCTGTGGCCACCTCAATCATCAACTCCCCTCATCTGCAATCTCAAGCACTCACACAATACATGTTTCTTTTAGAAAACTACTTCATAATTCTAGTTTATACACAACCACACACCACGGGTCACAAAACACTTTACAATCATTTTAATGACCTTAAAATCTGTACTAAAAACTAGACCCCAAAGTCGTCATGTGATACAGGAAACAAGCAAAAGCAATGAAGAATATCATCAATACAGTTTTAAGTTCTGTGCAAAGCATGGTGATTTTTAGATAAAACTCCCTGTGATCCTCAAAAGTAAAAGAAAATAATGCAAGGTCTTGGTCAGTCTTAAGAAAAAATTCCTCTGGACTCCAAATCCAGCAATTTGTTTAATAAAGATCACTGGAGTTTGAGTTTACTTCCAAAAACATACACTGAAAGGTGGGGGATGCTAGGGTTAGAAATGTTCTGAAATTATTTTAACCGCCCGCATAGTATCTCGAAGAAAGGAGTTCATATTTGCTTTTGAATATTTGAACTTCATTCACCTCCACAAGAACAGAGTAACCTCATGCAGTTCAACAGTAGTTATCTGTGCAGGAATAAACAAGATACTTCTGGGCCAGTCCTTTGTTGTTTCATCTGTTCTGACAGGAAGCAAGCAAGAAATGAACAACTTAAACTATTATGTGCAAAGATATATACCTATAGCTGCTCCATTACCACAGCCAAACCCCCCACCTTGACTGTGCAAAGCACATGATTTGGTTCTGTAGAGTTTTCAGGATGCATATTTTGGGAAGTTCTTTGTTTTGTTTTCACTGTCAAAGGAATGATTTTGTTAATGTTCCAGTAACGACCCTTTGCACAACATGAGGAGGTTTCCTCAGTTAGCACAGGACAGTACTACTAACAATGCTAGAATAAAATGCCTGGGCGGGGGGGCAGGGAAAGCAGCCAGGATGCAGCACTATCCATACAAATAAAGCTTTAAAAGCAAGTTAAAAAGGCAGGGGAAAAAGACATATGCATTCTTATCTGTCCTCATACTGTTACAGATGGCACTGTAGGCAGGTTACTACAGTCTTTATTAGCTGTATCCAAGAAATATGGAAAAGAAATTCACATCTCATCTTCACTGTTATGCAAAACAGTGGGGGGGGGTCTCTCTATGTACTTTTTATATTATTAAAGCAGTATCTTTATCTATCATACATTCTGTGCATTTGGGGAAATAATCTGCTTTACCAAATGTCACCAACACCACCGTATTGTCTTTTTACGTTCTTTTTACTTTTTTATTTTTATTGCAATTCTGCTATGCCACAGTGAAGAACCATCTCAGTTCCGACAGGAAACTATACATAGCTGAAATGGCAGAAAAACAGAATCTAAGTTGCTGAAACTTCTCTCAGTCTCACAGACCTTGGTGGAGAGAGAAGAAAGCAGGAACATGTCAAAGGAACCATAGGTTCTTTGCTTATAGCTTTTAACACTGCCTGAAAGCTACAGAAAACAAGTATGCCAGGAGTAACTTAATACATTAGAAGTGATGATGCAACCTGTCAGATCAAAGGTACTTCCACCACTCATTTTCCAAAACATTCTGTAGACTCCCATGTTCTTCTTGCAATTTTATGTCGATAGGAAAGGCTGCTGATGCAGGATGTCCATGCCTATAACTTGTCAGTAAACATCCCTGTTGTCCTCCATCTCCCTTTAGATGCTGTAAGAGAGAATCACACTTCCCAGGCATACCAAAGGGACATCCGCAAGTTTGATAGCCACAACCTTTGTGAGCAGCAGGGATTGAATCACTGACCTACACAGCTCAATTCATAAATCTTTATAATATGCTTGCTAAAGACTTACACTATTGTAACTGACCACTGTTACTGACATATCCTCTGTAGGCTATGGGTAGAAACAGGCATACACTACATACAAATAAATGGTATGTATAAATCACCATTCAGTGTATTTTCTGATTATTCATTCCATAGTTTAAAAATTAATAGCTTTCAAAACAGTATCTGTTTAAAAGAAATCTGTATGCATCACATCCAGATATACCATCTGCAACACAGAGAAGCAGAAATCTAATATAGCTAGATAGAAAGAAACATTTGCTAACTCCTTTGTAGCAGCTAACTGGAAAATAATTTATACAAACATTTCCAATGTGATAAAAAAACCATCCTCCATATTAAGGATCAAGAATCACAGATTCCATTCCCATTTTGGGGAAATGAGAAGTTTGTCTTTTAAACAGGTAACCAAGCCTGACTTAGTCATTCTTAAAAACAGCATGTTAGTGCGGGAAAGGCTGTGGATATTGAAAAGCGAGGCAGGTGCACTAAAGACCTGGACTCCGGCCATACAGATTACATCTAAGCTATACTACAGATTTGTTTTGCAGTGCATCCAGCTCTTTTGGTTCTCTGCAATCACAGAGGTTCACTTTCCTTTCCAAGGGAACCAGAGCAAGAAAAACGGTGCCAGGACTCACTCTGCTATAGGACTGAAGCAGAGCTGCGATCTGCACTGTCTGGGAAGTGCTCTGCAATTTCACCACTTAGCCATGGGCCCAGAGATCTAACATAAGTTTTCTGATAAATGATTTTAAATACAAACAAACAAACCCCACCGAAAATCACATGAAAGGGAAATGTCAAACTGTTCTTCCAACTAATTTTTGCTTTGAGATTTATGCTGTTAGTTCAAGATCAGTGAATTGCAGTAGAATAGAAGAAATAAATTAGTTTTTTTAACCCTATGTCTCATCGTACACATTTCAAGGCAATTTCTCCTTCACTGACAGGGCTGAGTGTTGAACTGCTGTCTCTTATGCATTTCTCTGGTATTAGAAGTGAATGACCAGATTCTCACCAGAAGAGATCTACAATTTAAACTAGTTTATCTATTTTGCATGCATCTTAATACCTCAATAGTAGTGTATAGCATGCAAAATGTGCTTAAAGCCTAATACCAGACATAGACAATTCTAAATAACTTCCACTCTGAAAAGTATAATTGTTCAAGTAAGGATGTCAGATAGAAGGAAAGTAATACAAAAAGAAACTGCAGAAAAATACCAAAGCTTCACACAATTCAGTTATATGCAATAATTCTGAATTATGTTTGGCTTTTTATGCCATTGGGGGGAAAAAAAGCTGATTTTCTTTTTTCCTGCATGTGACATTATTATTTGCAGCTCTTTTACTTTATAAAAGTTATCCTTTCCAGGCTATATTTTAGAGAGAAAAAAGAAGAAAAGCTTTCGATGGATGAGACTGAACTTTGACCTTTTAAAAGAGCTAACCTACGAAGCCAAGCGAATGATTGAAGGAGTAGTTTATGAGATGCGGATTTATGCTGTGAATTCTATTGGCATGTCCCGGCCAAGCCCTGCTTCACAACCCTTCATGCCAATTGGTGAGTTTTACCACACTCTATATTATTTCTAGAACAAAATCAAGACAGGACAATTTTCACCTCTTCTCTTCAACTGCCCTTATACCTAAAAAGAATGTGTTAGCAAAAACGCTATAAACCATCTCTATATTCTATATTTAATCAACCTTTTCCTTTGTAATCTTTCTCTTCTCTATCTCTCATTCCCCCTCATGCGAAGCATAGAGGTTCCAGTTTCATGAAATTGCTGATGAATTTTTAGTTGTTATAATTAGAAGTGTGAGAGTCAATCTGGATCTGGAAGGTAGGAGACCTAATTGACAGAGATTGACAGCTCTCTGCCATTACCTAATGGGTGCAAATATCACAGTATACCACCCAGTACTCTCTTAATCCTGGCCCTCTCCACAGCTAGAAGGACAGCTGATTAAGCAAATATTTGAGGAATGATTTTCTATAAATAATCCTTGCCAACACAGCAGCGCAGTGTCTCCTGCAGTCCCTGAGCAAGGAGCAAGCTAAAGGAGTTACCAGGAAGCCTGCCTGCTAAGAGCTTGAGAAAGAAGACGCACAAAAATACAAATAGCTAGAGATTAAAATGACTAGAGTTGCTAAATCTACAAGTATCAGTGAAGGGGGACAGTCTGCTGAAGGAGAAAATGTAAAAGCAGATGATGCAGCGAAGGAGTCAGAAGGAAAGGATGAACCGCAAGAAGGGTCTCTTAGCTCCGGATTTCAAACACAAAACGGCTGGTCCGCAACAAAAGAGAGCAAACAAAAACCATCGAGCAAAGCTGCTGAAATAAAAGGTCCAAAGTTTTCATGGGATAGGTAGAGTTTTACTTGACTAAGGATAAAGTTCACACTTACTGCTTCAGAGAAGTTTGGGGTTTTGATTGTGTACTGTGTGGTTGTGTATGCTCACAACTGTCTTTGCCTCTTGTGCGCTGTTGAGAGTCCTTGCTGCTATTTGAATATGAAAAATTTTGACGCAGCTACAGAAAGGAAACTGGGTGATATTTTTTATTTTTTTAATAATAACTTTGGGAACTAAGAGCAATTTCAATCAGTTGCACAATTTATAAGTCTGTATTTAATTAATATGTAAATTCTCTTATGTATATTCAAAAGGTGTTCAGTTTATAACACTTATAACACAGAGTATGCCAAACATGCATTGTTTTGACATGATTACTTTTATGCCATGTATGCAAAGTTTTATGTTCCAGCACTCTAAATGTTATTTTGAAAAAGTTATCTTTCTGTTTGCTTTTTAGAGTCAACGATTTCACTGTAGCATTTGTGTGTATTTGGGATTCTCCAGCAAGGGCTTTTCTTGGTTGTTATTTAATTAGTAGACACCAGTCATGCTTAAGAAGGCTGAATTTAGCTAGTGGTCTTTTTGAACTATGGATTTAAAAAGAACAATGACACTCCTCTTCTGAAAAAATATGGTAAAGCTGTATCTAACTGAAGTGAAAATTTTTCAATGCCAAATATTTTTCTCAAGCATGTCTCTATTACAAACGTGCAAATCAGACCTAGTGTTTCTGTAAACATGTAGTCATAACTTTTGGTCATTTTCTCCACTGTTAGAGGAAAATGAATGAAGTCAAATTTAGCCACTGATTAATTTGGTCCTGTGACTATTTGCATTTTGTCTAGCTACAACCAGGGTTTAAGTACAGCATACAAATTGTATGCATTTTTCTTTCTAAACTTTTCTGTAGACTTCTGCTGACAATTTGACTCGCTTCTACAATTCTTTTTTCATTGGCTTTTACTCATAAGGGAGCCTATGTGAATAGGAACTACTGTCTTAACCTCTTGTGCCCCTCCCTATTTTAGAAATCTTATGCTGCACTTAAATGAAGTATTTATTAGGTGTTACATTTTACAACTGAGCTTCAGATAAACTTATTTTATTAAAATAAATACTGGTATATAATTCAGCTGCTAATCACTCCTTCTATAGCCTTTGAATTCTCACAGTTACACTGCTATTTCTCAGAATTTACTTCTACGTTTTTTCTTATAGCTCCTCCAAGTGAACCAACCCACTTTACAGTGGAAGATGTTTCTGACAGCACTGTTGCCTTGAAGTGGAGACCCCCTGAGCGGATTGGAGCCGGGGGATTAGATGGTTATATTGTGGAATACTGCAAAGATGGATGTAAGTAAGCATGAGTACTAGGCAGCAGCACCTGAGCAGTATTAAAATACTACAATTGCAATAGCTTTACTGCAATATTCCAATAAATCAACCATTTGCAGTATCATTAAATTTGAACTCTAATCTATGACTAAGATCCTTGCAAACCATCACCACAATTACATCATGACTGTAAAACTATGAAAGCCACATCAACCATAACATCATCTTCACAATCATCATAAACTTTAATACAGAAAAGTACTACAAAAATGCCAGTGCTGCTCTATAGTCACTACCTTAATTTTGTGGCATTCAAAAACTGCATATTCCTTTAGACCAATATAATAACATGACTGTAACAGCATCAGTTAAAGTTTCAAGTAACTGTTACCTTATCTCACTTAATACTTGTGGTCTGATAAAAACTGTAACTGCACCATATCTACGACACCCAATTTACTGTGAAGCTACAACATGATATTTATGTAATAAAATGTCTTCTAGATACAGAGTTCTTTTTACAGCTTAGTTTATTCCCTTTTAAGTGTGGTATTGCACGTTAAATTTATTTTACCTTAACACAAATTTAATTTCAGTTGTAGACAAGGCATCAGTTTTGAAAAATAATACATTATTAGAATATGTAAATCCTGTACTTGCAGCTACAGAATGGATTCCAGCTCTTCCTGGCCTAACTGAGCGCACAACTGCACTGATTAAAGACCTGGTCACAGGGGACAAACTTCATTTCCGTATAAAGGCTATAAACTTGGCTGGCGAGAGTGGAGCAGCAATAATCAAAGAGCCCATTACTGTTCAAGAGATCCTGCGTGAGTATCTAGACTGAATAAATCTTATTCATCTGTTTCCTCTGGTCAAAATTCTAATCACGTACACATGCAGAAAAACTCTGGGACTGACAAGCCTGGGCCTTCTGAGAATAGCACCCAAACAGCTTTTTCACTTTGACCAGACATCCAGTGTCTTCTGATTCTGAGAACATTACTATTCTGTGCAGGTCTTACATTTCTAAAGCATAGCTCTTAAAATAAAAGTCTACTTCTTACTTTCAAAAGACAGAAATTTCACCTCTTGTAATGGCACTGTCAGCATTTAAGAGGCACATTTTTTAATATTTAGCTCCCTGCTGGAAAAGCTGTTATAATACTGCAAAATGGCCATGTTGGCTACGGAAAGAGATCTATTTAAACAAAAGCAGTTATGTGTACTTGATTGTCCTAGGTTATTAATTAACACCCTGTGTGTCATCCTACAGCAGTAGATTATAATCCATTTGACTGGAGTCCAAAAGGTATCAAGAGCTGCTAATAGTGGATTCCTTGACTCACACTCAGCATTTGCTAGAGTCTCACTGACAGTAAAATGACTTAGTGTAAACGAAATGAAGTTTTAATGCAACTCAAAACCAAATGGACATGAAGATAGATACTCCAACTGCATATTAAGAAATTCTTTCTGTAAATGACTAGGAAAAGAATAAGGAACACACAGAGAACATAAAAAGCTTTCCAGGGAGGTAGAGGCAAGTAGGGACCATATGAAAAAACATGCACTAAGCTCCTCTTTTTGTAAGTGAAAAGTAAGCTGTTACAATGAGAATCCACTCCTTCCACCTCAAAAAAAGAACTATATCTCAATGAATGTAGAAAGGTAAAGAAAATCCACTAATTGCTCTGCTTTCTGAGTAAGTCCATAAGTCCTCCAAATGGCAATTTACCAGGAGCTGTAGTATCAATATAGTGTCTATAATCCCTCTTTTAATCCAGTACATCCTTTATCCTATCCCTTCTACTGAACTGGTAAAGTTTTCCAAAGTAACAAAATCCGCACAGAAGGTTCCCATCTAATAGAAGTCACCAGAATCTGGCGTTTCAGATGTGACAGTTTCACAAATTCTGCTGCCACTGAAACCTTCTCAGTTGTAAATATATAACTGAGATCTGCTTCTAAATTTTTATTCAGTAGTCAAATACATTTGAAAATACTTAAACAATTAAATACTCCCTAACTGTATAAACAATGTTTGCACCATTTTCTCACGTTTATGAGTATCCAAGCCTTTCCTCTTTGGTGTTTTTTCTTAATTGTGCTCTAAGTAATATTTCAAATTATCAAAAGCTTTGTATTTAATGTACTAATGTTTAATTGCAGAGCGTCCCAAGATCTGGTTGCCACGCCATCTCAGACAGACTTTGGTGAAGAAAGTGGGTGAGACAATCAATATTGTGATCCCTTTTCAGGTATGCATAAATCTCTGTTTTGTCATGGATATTATAAAGTAGTTTCTTATGCAAGTTTCCATTATTTCACTGCTTAAGCAGTATTACATAAAGTATGGTTGATGATTTTTAAAAATTCAAATATTTAAGAAAAGAAATTACTCTTCTTTCAGTCATAATTTTTTCGCAGTCACAGTTTTTTCCATAATCCCTCCTTTTGGGGAAGAAGAAAAAGTGTGTGCTGTAATTAAGTGCAAGCCCATTCTTGCTTATTTACCATAGGCTGCCTCTTAAAGAGAGAAGTACACAAAAACGTAAGAATTCAACCAACTGCTCTTCTGGAGCCAAGGTACTTGATGGTACTGGGTAACTTCTTTGCCAAAAGTGTGTACGTTCATTTCCGAAAGGCTGACTACAAAAATTAGAATTTGTGCATAAACAGAATATCACAATTTGCCTTATCTA